CAGAAATGGCATCCGTCCAGTAAATGCTCAGCTCCATTCAGTCACTCTGACCCCACCCCAAATCAAATGATTACAGGGTTGTAATCCTCATAGGTAGGAAGGACTAAAACATACACTGTTGGCTTCATATTAAGAATCTTCTTGCATCCCATTTATCTACTCATTTTATCCTGCTATACAGTGGTGAGTTGCTACCGGTTCGCCTCTGTCCAATGGAATTGATCTAGGTCGTCAGGGCAGTCTCTATATCCTGCAGGGGTTAAAACAATGTTCCTTCCTCTAAAATCCTTTCCCTGTTCCATTGCTACTAACCTAGCTGTACTTTTCTGCTAATTTAATTTTTACTTGTTCATTTATTTATTCATTCATTAATTCTATTCAGGCTAATACTGAGCATATTAGCCAGCTCTGGAAAATGCATCCAGGACAAACTTTGCATATTCCCTCCCATTTGCTTTCTTTTTTCAGGAACAAAATGCAGATTTTAAAGCTGTTTATTTAATGTGGAACCTTTTTTAAGTTTCAGTCCTTGACTTTGCCAAGATCAAGAGTCTGTCACAGTATGACATTTTATAAGGTAATATATGTGTATATATATGCAAAAAATTAAAATCTCGGATGTTTTCCGCGTCATTATAAATATTTTAAATATTTTAACCAACTTATTTATAATGACGCGGGAAAACACTCAAGATTTTAATTTTTTGCATATGCACACCCGCGAAAACTTAAGAATATATATATATATATATATATATATATATATATATATATATATATATATGTGTGTGTGTAGGTCTTTGGTTATTCGGGTCTTCTCCCACGTAAAATTGGAAGTGTCTTGACGACGTTTCGACGAAGTCTCATTCGTCATCTTCAGGCTGGTGTTCTCGGCTTCGTGCTCCTGGAAGCACGAAGCCGAGAACACCAGCCTGAAGATGACGAATGAGACTTCGGCGAAACGTCACCAAGACACTTCCAATTTTACGTGGGAGAAGACCCGAGCATGTATATATCTATAGTACCTTGTAAAGTGTCATACTCCGGCTTGGTCATTTATAACATTCCCCCGCAAAAAAGAGAGATACATAATGCCATTAAAACACATACTTTAGCGCAATATTAATAATCACCACCAGTCCTTCCTATCTCTCCTTCAGTGACAATCCCAAAGACTCAACCAAGAGTGATTTGCTATAAAAAATACCTCATTCTTAACTGCCTTCTATTTTTATTTTTTTATTTTTTTGTCTCAGGAGAGAGGGCACTTGCCTGTTTCTCTCAGTTGCTGCAATTGTTCCCATTGGGAAAACTATGTAGGGACTTCCTGCTTTATCTTATACCATCTTTCTTTTCTTTTCCCTGCAGGGAGACCTCAGACCTCAGGAGTGACATCTGCCTGCTTTTTCCAGAGAAATGGATGGGCAGAACTCCCCTATCTTAAACTGTCCCTTCTGTGTTATCAGGTCTGATGATACAAAGAACTGTATATCTCTGTACAGTACATCTCTGTCACTAGGATAAGCTTTGTTTTTGTTTTTTTTTTATAATTTTTTAATTTTCTTTTAATACAAACATTCCATCTTAAATTAAACAGTGTGTCATCTGGGTATAAAAGTCTTTGTGTCTTAACAATTAAATTTACCACCATATTCATTTCTTACATTCATTTTTATATTAATACTAAATAATAATAATAATATTGATAAAATAACATAAACCTAACATTTCTCTTCTTTACTTATCTATTTTTACAATACATTGCTTTCATATTTATTCTCTAACCATTGATAAAATAACTCCCATATATTATAATAATCTGCTTCTTCCTTTTCTTGAATTGCAAGTGTTAATTTGTTCATTTCTGTACATTTTCGTAATCATTTTCTCATTTATAGGGATCTCTTCGCTTTTCCAATTTTGTGCAAATACAATTCTAGCTGCGGTTATTACATGAATAATCAAATATACAGTTTCTTTACTATAAATTCCTGGTAAAATCCCCAACAGGAACAATTCCGGTTTTAAATCAATATGTTGTTGCGTCATCTTCTCCAGCCACATACGAATTTTTGCCCAGTATCTTTTTGCTTCTCCACATGTCCACCACATATGATAATATGACCCCGCTGTCTGTTGACATTTCCAACATTTAGTTGATTTATCTTTAAACATTTCTGCCATCTTTCGGGTGCTAAGTGCCATCTGTAAAACATCTTATATAAGTTTTCCTTGTATGCAGTTGACTGTTAATTTGTAATTCCTATCCCATAGTTGATGCCATTTATTTCGCTCTATCATGTGACCAAAGTTTTTTGCCCATGCTATCATTGTTTCTTTGACTTGTTCTTCTTCTAATTTTATTTATTTATTTTTTATTTTTATTTTATTTCGAATTTATATACCGCACCTTCTCCCAAGGAACTCAGGGCGGTGTACAGCCAGATAAAAAACATACAATACAAACATTAAAAACAATTAAAAAGATATATATTAATTTGGCCCCAATTTAAAATAACAAACCAATTAAAAATATTTAAAAATTTAACACTCAATAAGTAACTGTACAATTTTTTTATCATTCTCTCTTCTATTCCTCTCTATATCTCATCCAATTCTGTCAATTCCATATAAAAACCATAAAGTTTAGCATCCTTTTCATATCTAGATTGTATTTGCAACTGTGTATACCAATCCATATCAACCCCCTGTTTTCAAATTCACATTTCATTTTAAGTTCCCCCTTTTCCGACTAAATATCTTTGTACATAACAATATTTCCCATATTAATAATATTTGGATGTATAAGTACTTTCATCATCGAAAGCCAGACTAGTATCTTCAAGTAGTGTTGCTCTCTAATTTTTTCCCATACTAATAACAAAGCATTTCTTATATAGTGTCTTTGGAAGTAACCATGTATCTTATTTTTCCCATACCATAAAAAAGCATGCCAACCTAATTGCAGGTATGTCCTTCCAATGTCAATAACATTGTATTTCTCAATACAATCCATTCCTTCATCCAAGTTAGTGCTGCTGCCTGGTAATATAATTCCCAATTTGGTCATCCAAACCCTCCCCTAGCTCTTACATCTTCTGCAATTATTCCCATTGGGAAAACTATGTATGGATGAATTAGAATGGACTTCTTGCTTTATCCTATACCTGTGATGGCGAACCTATGGCACGCGTGCCAGAGATGGCACACAGAGCCCTTTCTGTAGGCATGCGCGCCATCGCCAGCTGCTCTTCTAGTTTTTGGCATGCACATGTGCACCAGCCAGCTGGTCTTCGTGGGTGCCAGAACGCCAGAAAACAGCCTGAAAATGGGCAAAACAGCCAAAAAACAGGCCATTTCTCAGGCCATTTTCAGGGCATTTTTAGGGACATTTTCAGGCCGAAAGTGGCCTGAAAACAGCCCGAAAAATGGCTTGAAAATGGCCCCCAAAATGGCCAAAAAACAGGAATGTGTGCGCCGGCCAGCTGGTCTTTGGTTTCTGGTGCTCCAATGCACACACCTGCTTGCACATGCACATGTGTTCCGGTTTGGGCACTCGGTGCTGAAAAGGTTTGCTATCACTGTCCTATACCGTCTTTCTTTTCCCTGCAGGGAGACCTCAGGAGTGACATCTCCCTGCTTTTTCCCACACAGAGAAATGGATGGGCAGAGCTCCCCTACATTAAACTGTCTCTTCTGATGTTATCTGAGGTCTTCTGAGGCCTGCCGATACAAGGAACTGTATATCTCTGTACAGTACATCTCTATCACTAGAATAAGCTTTGGAAGAGCCCAGGGCAGTGGTGGGCTGCTGCTGGTTCGGACCGATTCGGGCGAATCTGTAATTCCGGCCAGTGGCTGGACCCACCCACCTGCCCTGGTGCTATCATGTCCTATATAATCACTGGTTTTTCAATGCCACTCACATGCATGCACTCACATTTTCAGTTCTGGGCGAACCGGTTGTTACAGTATGTGTCGCCCACCTCTGGCCCAGGGTTGTTTTTTTAGAAAACAGACTGAAATCCACTTGATGTATCATAAATAACTATATTTGATGGCTGGAAAGCCATGGCTAATTACAGATGGAATGGTATAGCTGTTATGCAGTCATGTCCTTAATATACAGTGACACGATAAATAAAATTCAGCGATTTATCGGGTGCCAATTTATGACTATTCAATGATAGTCTTTCTCAAATGCAAACATGCAAGCAATGCAAACAAATGTGAGGTGCTTTTTTAATAATAATAATAATCCTGAAATTAAACACCAGGCATAAGTAGCCAAATTTCCAATTCAAAACCTGAATTGGAATGAAACTGAAAAAGTTGGCACGTTTGGGAAAATATATAAAGTAATTACATGTGTGGTATTCCCAGGCCATCTCCCATCCTAGCTGTGTTCAAGGCTAGCAAGTACAGCTACATCAAATCATTGCTTAAGTTAGGTGCACTTCTAAAGATTAAAGTATCACAGGAGTGTAGAGAGGAAGTCACTCAAACTAATGGCTTGAGATATTGTGGGGCACATAGTAAAAAAAAAAAAAAAACCAAGCTAAAGAGAGGCTCACCTTGACTGGAGCACTCCAGCCAATCAAAGACTATCAAAACTCTTTCAGCCAAAGCCACCACAACTGATCACTTGGGTGGCCTTGTGCATTAATCAAGGGGGGGTGTTGCTTATGCTTGCCTGCTTAAGGCCAGGCAAAGAAAAGCAACTTCCTCCCTCCCTTCGGCAGTTGTGCTCACCATGCAATTTTACCAGGAGAGGTCACATTATTTGAACTTGGGGGTTCTGGTTTAGAAATAAAAATAAAACAGTTCACAGGGTCTCTGGAACGGTGATAAAAGTCAAAGGCATTAAGCACATTAAGCTGGAAGGCTAGGTCAGTGATTAGTCATAGTACTCGCTGGCAGATTGGGGAAATGAGGAACATGAGGCAGAGAGCACAATTAAATCATTTTTATAACAGAGCAACCTTCGTTTGTGTTCTAATGACAAAATTCATTTATGTGTTCCTTCCTTCCTTTATTTCAGTAATGAATTTGCCTGTTGCAAAGCTTGGAAAGCACTCTACATAATAAAAAAAAAGAATATATTAATCATAAAGCAGTAAGATCATTTAAAATCAAACAATCAGGTATAAAAACAGTAATATTTTAAAAGGAAAAGATGCACAATGTGGAAGCAGAGTAACTGACAATTTCAAAAATGGCGCTTTAAAAAATAAAGCTTATCTTGAGGAGAGAGAGAGATTAAATGGAAAGAATTTGGGACATCTATGCCAAAATATATTTCAATAACAGATTTCCCAGTTTGGGGGCCACCATAGAAAAGATCCCTACTTGAAAGTCATCTACAGAATCCCAATATGTGGACATTCAGAGCAAGACCTCCAATAAAGACCTGCCCATCCTCTGCTCCAGGGCAGACATATGATCATGCTGAGCAGAAGCCCTTCTGCAGGTACCCCGAAAAGGTTTTCATAATGGAGGTCTACTCATTCTGAAGTGGTCTATACAAGTATCCCTTGCACCTTCTTTGACAAAGGGAGGGAGGACTTCTGATGCTCCCTGCCAACTTCTCACAAGGAAATCCAAAGGGGAAGCTGTGAGGAAGTCAGAAACTGCTTCTATTCCCACTGCTCTTTTGCCCACCCATAATCATTCTCTGTTTAGGTAAGGAAATATCTCTGAAATAACTCAACCAGGCATGGGCTACCCAGTTTCAAACTAAGTACCATACTTTTTGGAGTATAAGACGAATTTTCTCCCCCTAAAAGTGGGTGAAAATTGTGGTGCATCTTATACACTGAATGTTACCAAAGCCCCACCCACCCACCGGCCTCCACATTTTGGCTGTTTTCGGCCTCCGCATGCCCCGTTTTAGACCCATTCCAGGCTGCGAGGAATGCCACAGCATATCGCCACCAATCGCTGCCTGCACGCATTGCATTTTCAACCTCTGCGTCTTGCGTTTTCGGCCTCCGCACACCCCATTTTTGGCCTCCACATGCCACATTTTTGGCCGGTTCCAGGCAGCGGGGATCGGCAGTGGCGGGGATCCCCACCGCCTGGAATTGGCTGAAAATGCGGCACACAGAGGCCAAAAATGGGGCGTGCAAAGGCTAAAAGTTCTGCAATGCACAGAGGCCAAAAATGCAACGTGCAGAGGGGGTGATGGGCTATGGCGATCCCTGTAGCCTGGAACAGCTGATTGAAAGTATTCCGGGAGGCCGATCCAACCGCCAATCAGCTGCTCGTGCTGAATCAGGCTGCGATAACGTGCTAAAGCTAATCTGGCTGTTTGCTTTTTGTTGCAAGGATGTACGCCAGATAAATACCGATAGATGCTGGTAGGCAGAGGCAGAATTTTTTTTTTCTTGTTTTCCTCCCAAAAAAGTAATGTGTGTCTTATACTCCAGATCATCTTATACTCCGAAAAATACGGTACCCTGAGTATATTGCAATTAACTTATCCCTAATTTTATGTTATAAACTTTTTAAAAGTATAGCTTTTGTTAATTTATTGCTGCATTGATTCATGTAAAAATATACTAAATAAAATCACAAGCAGCTTTTTTGTGGCACTTAAAATTAGGGAAGCTGACAAGTTGACGATGTACATATAATTAAGTGATGTCGTCTGCTGACATCTAGTGGTCGCTTACATACATACCTCTGTGTGTGTGTGCGCGTGCATACATAGATACACACACACAAACACACTCATACATAAATTACACAGCAAATTTAGGCTTCTTGTAAGTATTATTCTCTTTCAAATCTTGTAATATTTTATTCAAATAGTGACAGTCTTTGCTGATCTTTTACATATTGCATAGACTTATGCAGTACATGCTTTGATTGCAAGTAGGAATAATATTATGAAACATAATCCTTTTCTTTTAACCTGCATGTTGATAGCTAAACCATATGATATGGTTAAATTCAGAAGCGGGGGGGAAGGCAGGGAGTTGGGGGGGGCAAATGATAAAGCAAAATCATGCTGATCTCTGTGCAAGCTCTACCTTTAATGTGTACATATTGTGACATTGCACACAGACACAGGTCATTCTCAGCCTGCAACCACAACTGAATCCTTAATATTCATTGCTAAACAAGACAATTGTTAACTGAATTTTGCCTCATTTTACAATCTTCCTTGCCACGGTTGTTAACCGAATCACTGCAGTTGTTAAATTAGTAACATAATTGCTAATTAAATCTGGCTTCCCCATAGACTCTGCTTGCGTGATCACCTGAACGTGAGACACTGTAACAGTCATAAATACATGCCAGTTGCCAAGCATCTGAATTCTGATCACATGACCACAGGTGCAATGGTCATAAATGTGAAAAGTGATTATAAATCACTTGTCATGCCCCAGCATATAATTTTTATATATTCTGTTGTTGCTTTCTAGCCCCATCTAGTGGCTGGAGGAACAAATACCAATCTATATTGTTTTGAAGGTGACTTAACCTCTTTACACTTCAACCCGCACTCTCAAAACAAGTGCCTGCTGGGAAGCCAGACTCCATTTTCCTTTAGCATTTGAAGGAGGCAGAAGCACAAAGAAGAATCTATCTTAATCTGTGGCAAATGTTCATCCAAGGACTAGTCCATATCCCACACACAGCACAACACTGGTGAGATTTAGATTACTTGTATTTATTAATTGTTATGTTCAGCAGCAACTCAATGCTGCCTGTCTTGTATTTGGTCCTCATTGTATGTATTCTTATTTTCCCCAGTTTCACCACATCCTGTTCTTGAATAAAGCATCCTGATCCACACTGGTTGAATTTTGTCCCATTTTACAAACTTTCTTGCCACAGTTGTTAAATGAATCACTGCAGCTGATAAGTTAGTAATAGGTTTGTTAAGTGAATCTGGTTTCCCTATTGACTTTGCTTGTCAGAAGGTCGCAAAATGTGATCACATGATCTTGGGACATAGCAATTGTCATAAATATGAACAAGTTACCAAGCATCTGAATTTTGATCACATGATATGCAAAAGTCATAACTTTGAAAAACAGTAATCATATTTTATCTCAGAACCACTGAACTATATCTTTCAAAGATCCTGGAGCACCAGGGAACTGCCAGAGGACTGGAAAAGAGCTGATGTAGTTCCCATCTTCAAAAAAAAAGGGGGGGGAAATAAATCCAGGAAACTACAGACCTATCAGCCTGACCTCAATACCAGGGAAGATTCTGGAAAAGATAATCAAACAACGAATCGGTGAACACCTAGAAGCAAACCAAGTAATAACCAAAAGCCAACATGGGTTTGTCAAAAACAGATCATGCCAGACTAATCTTATTGCATTCTTTGACAAAGTGACAAAATTAGTGGACTAGAGCAATACTGTCAATATAATTTACTTGGACTTTAGTAAGTCTTTTGATAAAGTAGGCCATAATCTACTACTAGATAAAGTAGGAAAATGTGGGTTAAATAGCATCACCACCAGATGGATTCATAACTGGCTGACCAACTGCACTCAACATGTAGTCCTCAATGGAACTGCATCTATATGGAGGGAAGTATGCAGTGGAGTACCCCAGGGCTCTGTTTTAGACCTTTAATCAATGACTTGGACGAGGGGATACATGGGGAACTCATCAAATTTGCAGATGACACCAAGCTGGCAGGAGTAGCCAACACTCCAGAAGATATGCTCAAGTTACAGAAGGATCTTGACAGACTTGAACATTGGCTGCTATCTAACAAAATGAAATTCAATGGTGAAAAAAGTAAGGTTCTACATTTAGACAAGAAAAACAAAATGCACAGGTACAGTATATGTGGTACCTTGCTCAATAATAGTAACTGTTAGAGAGATCTTGGCGTCCTAGTGGACAACCATTTAAATATGGGCCAGCCGTGTGCAGCAGCTGCCAAAAAAGTCAACACAGTTCTAGGCTGTATAGACAGAGGAATAGAATCAAGAACACCTGAAGTATTAATACCACTTTTTAATGCCTTGGTAAGGCCACACTTGGAATATTGCATTCCGTTTTGGTCGCTACAATGCAAAAAAGATGTGGAGACTCTAGAAAGAGTGCAGAGAAGAGCAACAAAGATGATTAGGGGACTGGAGGCTAAAACATATGAAGAACAGTTGCAGGAACTGGGTATGTCTAGTTTGATGAAAAGAAGGTCTAGGGGAGACATGATAGCAGTGCTCCAATATCTCAGGAGTTGCCACAAAGAAGAGGGAGTCAAACGATTCTCCAAAGCACCTGAGGGCAGGACAAGAAACAATGGGTGGAAACTAATCAAGGAGAGAAACAACATAGAACTAAGGAGAAATTTCCTGACAGAACAATTAATCAGTGGAACAACTTGCCTCCAGAAGTTGTGAGTGCTCCAACACTAGAAGTTCTTTAAGATATTGAATAGAACACTAGAATATCTTTAAGAAGATATTGGATAACTGTTTGTCTGAAGTGGTGTAGGGTTTCCTGCCTAAGCAGGGGGTTGGACTGGAAGACCTCCAAGGTCCCTTCCAACTCTGTTATTCTATTCTATTCTATTTTTCAGTGCCATTGTAACTTTGAATGGTCACTTCAAGTCAAGGACTACCTGTAGTAAACTGATTTACATTAAAATGTATGATGATAACTTAAATAAGAAAAGTCATTACACAGAGCAGGCCATCCTTAAAATGGCCTTTCTAATATGTTTGGGGGCAGTTTGATTGGCTTTGTTTGAGTTTGGTGTTGGTGTGAGCTTGTGCTTTGTTTTTTGCCAGAAACAGTACAAATGACAAATCCTGTGATCCTAGCAAAACATGGCATTTTTGCACATAATCAGGGCGTCAGTTTAAACTATGAATCTTTTTCTGGCTTCTGAAATGAAGAAATAAAGATAAAGCAAAAATGTCCTTTTTTAGAAAAATACCAATCTGAATGAGGTTCCAATCTGTTTGAACAGAGGGACTTCACAGTTTAATCCCAGTCCTACTTCATATTCCATAAGCATTATTTGTTGGCAACGGCTATGCACTCTGGAAAGAAAGCAAAGGGATAACTACTTACCTAATTGTGAAAGATAATTCTCACCTGGCAAAGTAACAGATTGAAACTGAAAGGGTAGGAGAAAGCAACTAAGAACTTAAGTACTTTAAATTAACCGTGTATAAAGTTAACATCTGAAAGCAAAATTCAGAACTTTTAAATTATGAAGCTAAGAGAGGTTTTCCTGATTTTTATAAGGTGATATATTATATTTATTATAATATATTGAGAAATATACAGGAATTGTTAGGTTATAGGATAACAGGTTTCAGTCAAATATTAGGAAAATTTACCCAGCAATAAGAGTATTTCAACAATGGAACCAACTACTGAGTGGTGATGGGTTTCCAACTTTCAAGCGGAGGCTAACCAACCACCAGTCATGAATGTTTTAGTTTGGATTCCTGCAATGGGCAGAGCTGAATTCAATGTCCTAAATAGTCCTTCCCAACTCTCTAATTTTATGATTCTATGATATATTTAACAATGTATACTTTATTTTATTTTAGTTCTAGTTCTTCTGCACCACTCAAAGAGGACACAATAATTGAAAAACTTTACACAGCAGAAAACCACACATTGGTCAAATTCCAAAATATAAAGACAGCTGCTTCAAGGAACTAAAATCAGCAACAGAGCAACTGTAACACTTATACTTACCGTATATACTGCTTCGTAGTGCTTTATGGACCTCTCTAAACAGTTTACAAAGTCAGCATATGCCCCTCAACAGTCTGGGTCTTCATTTTACTGACCTCGGAAAGATGGAAGGCTGAGTCAATCTTGAGCCGGTCAGGATCGAAGGAATCGAACTCCTGGCAGTGGGCAGAGTTAGCCTGCACTATGCCACCACGGCTCTTAAGTAGATTGCTCATTGTCCGTTGTGATGCAAGCTTCATGTTTTTCAAGGTATCATGACATCACATGGATGTTCAAAAGGAATAGGGATTACATTGCAGTGCTCCATCATTTTGACCTATCCCTATAGGCACTGCTAGGAAGGAATAATTTCCCAAGTCCCCAGAACAAAGATATATAGGATTTTAATAATAGCTGCCAACACTCTGAACTGTGCCCAGAAACAAATGGTATGTCAGCGTTCCAGAAAAACCCAAACTCTATTTAGGCTTCTGGCCTAATATGGCTTCCAAAGTTGATATGGTAGACCGTAGACTGCAGAAAAGCTGGAGTATGGTCCCATGAGAGTCAGCCCACTATCTGTTTTGCTGTTACACTGTAATAAGTAACTGAAATCTCTTTTTGTTAAATCTCCCCATATAGAGTGTATTCTATTTTTTTTTCCCAGTACACTAGTCTCTTTTTCATGTAATTAAAGCTTTCCACATGGCCATCAGATTCACACTCAAACCCAACAGTTAGCAACATTTGTGTGCTGCTGGGCTTGCTCTGTTAGTTCCTCCTCTTTTCCCTGAACCATCATTGCTCTCTCTAGCTGGCTAGTGGGGGAGCGCTAAAAATGGAAGCTAACCAGAATTCTATCCCCCTCCTTCTTCTGATTAAAAGGAAACTAACAAAAAGCAAAAGTCAATGTGCAGAGGCATAGCAAAGCTGCCTCTCGTGGTAACCAAGAAAACCAGAGAAGAATGGCAAGGTATTGTAGCATGTTCACTTCATAAGAAAAGATAAAATTCCTATTATTTCTGTCAAAAGAGACTGTTACCGCTATCTCCCCACCCCCACTCACCCCGAAAAAGGCTGTTTTGCGTCATCTCCTCCAGAGCAGTATTCAAGCCAATTAATCTCTGAATTTAATAAACTCAGCAGGTAGGCCCATGAGAAACCCTGCAGTATTATGGGGAAACATAAGAACAGCAGTCAACTTGGTTCAGTGCTTTCGTTGTGTACTGACAGCCCAAAGATTCAAGTTACTGTATCCAGATCTGGCAATCTGAGGAGCAAGAACAAAGGATACAGTAGTCAAACTTGAGCAGAATCATGCTTGGTTGTTGCTGTTATCTAAGCACAGGTAAACTCCGAGTGCAAGGATGCAACCCAGAGCAAGTCCAAAATGAAAACCTGATATTTCAAAGCAAATATAACCTCATTTTTAAAAGGTTTAACCCCAAATCCATAATTTGTCTCCCTTGGCCTGGATTAATTTCAAATGGAATGAGTGTTCACCTAACCTATTACCATTTAGGTTCCTAATTTGTTCTTTCCTACTGCATAAAAAAAAAAGATAAGTGAGGGGAGTATCATTCACAAAATAATATCAACGTATTCCAAATTATAATCTCAGTAGAATTTCATTTACCAGAAAAATTACTTATACTATAGGATAGTTTTTTGTAGTAGCTTAAAGTCTTGCCTCCAACTGCAAATATTGGTGTGGGTTGTTGTTGTTGTTGTTTAATGAGCAAGAGGTTCTGGCTTCTTGCATTCCCATGAGGATAGTCTGAAGGATGAAAAGGAAATTGGCTGCAGGTCATTCACCTATGCCATTTATGTCTCTAGTAAAATGTCCCCCTGCACCATCTTCTGGAATCAGTCTCAAAGAAGACATGGCTTGGAAAAATTTGAACAATGTCAGCCAAATCCTTTTTAAAAATGTCATTTGGTGTTAACATTCAGAACAAATTGGGTCTTAGCATTATTGTACAGAACAATTCCCATGGAGTGCAACAACATTCCTCCAATTTAGCATTGAGGAACTAGCAGTATTCCAGATGTTGTTGGATGTCAAGCCCAGTCAATATTATTACCATTGAGTAATTATTGGAGTTGTAATCTAACAAAGCTTTTGCTATTCTTTCTCAACAAATGAGCAGAACCACTATTCAGCAGTAGTCATCATATCAAAATGCCACAGTTGATGGTATTAACAATGATTGAGTGAGCTAGAAAATCCAATATTAACCTAATCTAATAATATTAACCTGTCTGAGCTACGGATCATCTTCTGTGTACCCAAAGGTTTTGCAGCCTATCTTATTGCATATCTATATTTTGGTTGTGAATTATCTCATCCTTGTTTGCACATCATCCTTTTTTTTTCAAAAGATAGATATTTTTAATGCATATTTTAATATACTAATATCTCAGCTGTAACAATATCTTAACAGACTTGTCTGGGCTCAGAAGTTAAGTAGAATCAGGACTACAGTAATTAGTTCTTGGATGGGAAATTTCCCAAAAACATCAGGCCTGAATGGGAAGCTCAGAATAAAGAAATGGCAACCATTTCCACATTAATACCAAGAAAATTATGTGACTGTGATCATGAAATCATCAGAAGTCAGGTTTGACTTAAAGGAGATGTTATTTTAAGTATTCACTACCTGGATTTTATCATTAGCTATGTTATACTTAATCCCCCCCCTCTCCTTCCAGTTTAGTAAATACCTTCTTTTAACAAAACTTTTTTTAAAATATATATATATGCTAAAAATGAGATGCTTTGTTCCCAGTTAATATAGATATAAGCTGTGCTAAGTGGTCTAATCCAGTAATTTTACCTTTCTTAAAATTTAAAACAGTATGGACCAGCTATTTAAACACTCTAATTTTTAAAACATCCATTATACGTGGAAAAAAGTAGATAATAACAAATGGAGATAAATAGCAGGTTCCAATAATGATGCATTGCATTACTCCACAATTTCAGACTGTAATCATGGCTGGGAGGGGAAGGAATGAATTCCCTAGAAATGAAACATGAAAACTTGGCAGTGTGCCTCAGAATGGGTCAATGGAACGTTGGGCAGAGAGAAGGCCTTACTGTATGTAGAACTAACACAAAATTGTCAGTATTCTTAGATGTGGGTCTTCACCTGCAGCAGTCCCAACAGGGATTGGACAAGAAACAATTGAGGGAAAAGAATATATTTATCCTTGAGGAAAAAACTGAGAGACTACAGTATAAATGGCTACTGAAGAAAATCACAACTTCTTTGAGCCAGAATACAGAACAGAAAATTATGGGAAAGCAGATTCCAAATGAAGATTTTCCTAATACGCTAACAAGAAGAGATATTTGATAGTGGAACAATTACCAAGGAAGACAGTGTTTCCTCATCCCAGAGTGCATTCAAGCAGAGAATGTTTGATGTGAAATGAGAGGATATTACTATGAGGCCCTTGTTATGGAGAGTTCTCTCTGTACACACTGCTAAAGAGAAGTTCCCTGAGGATGGGTTCCAGTACAAGTTTGAAAGCTTGGAAAATGAAACCGCTGGTCCTGGTGACCGACCAGGATTGTATCCTGCAAGATTATCCTGGGACATGTGTATTCGCCATCACTTGTGAGAGTTCACTGTCTCTAGTTTTGAAGTACTCTAGAGTTGCACCTCACTGCAGAGAGATAGGACCTATTCAGCTGGTCTGTCCCAGGCACCTGGGGAATTCAACTGCATTTCAGAAGGAGTGACTCTGGATTGAGTCATCACATAGAATGAGAGGGCAACTGTGGTCTCAGATTGGATCATACTTGTGGGGAATCTTTATGCATGGGAGCTCCACAGTTTTCAGAAGAATACTGGGTAATGAGGCGACATAAAGGATACCTAGAATACTACTGAAGGCAAAAAAAGTATGAATTCTATCAAGCACAGGTAAGACTATTTCATTGGCATTATTGTACGTCAATAAGAACACAGAGTGTTGAATTATATGTTAGTTCTGATGAACCTGACAGAATCTTTGGAAATATTAACTCAGCCACCTGTGTTTTAAATGCATGTCCATCCTGGCTGGTTAATATCCCCTAGGACAGGGGTGCCCAATCCCTAGGAAGTGGCCCAATGCTGTTCATGAAAGCACTGGGCAAGTGTGTACCACCTGCACATGCAGCGAGTGGATGAGCACATACGCACAACTCCATTTATGCGAGCAGCAAGTGTGCATGCCTGCCATTTGTGCAAATGGAGCTGCGCATGAACACGCTTGCCCACAGCCTGTACGGAACCATCTCTCTTTGGCCCACAAAGCCAGAAAGGTTAGAGACCACTGCCCTAGGAGGGGCCCGGTGGTTGAACTCATGTGGTATTAATAGGAGGAAGTGGTGCCACCTCCTTTGAAAGAGGCTATTATCTGTCTCCTCGATAAGCAATCTATGGAATTGGACAATTTTCATTGTTTCCAACCTTCCCTATTTAGGGGATGAAATAGATTACCTAGATCCTTTTTGGTATAGATTCAGATCTAGTTAGAGCAGTTTTTTTTTATCACCTCTGGTGAGCTTGCTATAGGGGTAATGCATCCATTCTGACAGTCCTTGACTTCTAAGTGGTTTTCAATCAGGGTATCCTTCTAGACCAGTTCAGGGAACTGGGATACAGATCTAATGCAAAACCATCAGCATTCAAAAACCATTCAGACGTGGGTCTTTACCTGAACAGCTCTTCCCAATATCATCAGGGATTGGAAACAAGGAACAATTAAAGAAACAGAATATGCTTATCTTTGAGGGGAAACTGAGAGAAGGTATGATAGCATTTTTCAAATACTTGGTGTTTGTTTGTTTGTTTTTAATTTGATTTATATGCTTCCCTTCTCCGGAGACTCAGGGCGGCTTACAATGCGTTAAGCAATAGCCTTCATCCTTTTGTATATTTATACAAAGTCATCTTATTGCCCCCATAATCTGGGTCCTCATTTTACCTACCTTAGAAAGGATGGCAGACTGAGTCAACCTTGAACCTGGTGAGATTTGAACTTGCAGTAATTGCAGGCAGCAGATGTAAGTGGATGTTAATAACAGTGCTTTAATCTGCTGAGCCACCAGAGCCCCCTGGTGTTGACTCTCCTCCTTCTGCCAGTTCCAGTTGATGTTGATAAACAGGGAGACCCCAGC